TCAACAAAAGAAAGATGGTATCTTGGCAATTTTCATTTATAGAAAGATATGATTAGTTTACAAATAACAATATCAATAGTTGTTGAATGTTTAGTATTTGCTAAAGTCTAGTATTTGCTAAAGTATTTGCTAAGTCTAGCTGTACCGATGCATGTTACATGTAGCTGCATTTTAATTATCTCTCTCTAGGACTGATACACTTGGTATTTTTACTGTGCCAGGCATGCAAAGACACAACCCCATTCTTTAGAGATTAAACTCCTAATTGGAGAAAACAGCATTATAGTTAAATAACTCATGCATGAACTTAAAAAAAAAATCCATTCTTCCATGGGAAACTGTATTTGACAGGGTAAATAAAATCATAATATTTATAATACAGTTTAGAAAATGAGAGTATAATCTCTGGGAGTTGTGGAAGGGTATTTCTCTAGAGTAGCTACTCAATAAATTGTGATGACTGACTAAGTAAGAGAGGAGTAAACCGAGGTGAAGGAAAATAAAAAGACCATCATCATAATTAGGTAGCATTTATTAAACTCCCACATGTGACAGGCTTGGACAAGAGAAGGGAACACAATCAGATGTACAAAAAGATGTAGGAGGGGGCTGAATCACACAAAGCAAGGACTGACTCAGGATAATCAAAAGAGAGGGGTCCAGAAGCAAGCAGCACTATCATCAGTTTGGCAAGAATCCCTAATCCTGGTTGGGTTGGTAGAAAGCAATACTTACAACTGAAGGTATAATGGAAACATTTTGAAATATTTTATGGATGTATTTACATGTGTCAGACTCAAGCTCAGCTCTAGCTGACTACCATTCATTCGAATAATCTTGTTAACTCGGTCAGTTTATTGGATTATGGAGTTGAATTATTCTACCTCTTTATAGGTTTTTTAAATTTTAATTCCATTCATGCAGATAGTGGCCCAACTTGGGCAAATTTTCCTGCTCACTAATTATGGTGTCTCACTGATAGAAGATTTTTGTCTGTGGCCTAATGATGTACCCCACAGTGCATGCTTGTTCTCAGTCAGTGACTAGCATATTGCATAACCACTTCAAATACCTTAGTTACCTAATGCTCCTTATTTACTCTGATCACTTGCAATCCCACTGAAATTCTCTGTAGTGATGGCTAGCTAAGGGAACAAAGCATCCAGTGGAAGAATGTTATTCTTAGGAGACCACAGTGTCCCACAGCAGAGCCTGAGGGTACTTATTTTTATTTCTGTGCAGAAGGGCTCACATTTGCTTGTCAGCTCTTAGAGATGCTATTGAAAAACCATGGATATTTCCACGGGTAGACATAAAACAATTGCATTCTCATATGAATGAGTTTATCACAATTAGAAAAGGCACCTAAGATGCTATAATGGACTTTTTTTTTTTTTACAAAAAGATTTATTTATTTATTTATTTATTTATTTATTTATTTGAAAGGCAGAGTTAGAGAGGTAGAGACACAGAGTGAGAGGTCTTTCATCTGGTAGTTCACTCCCCAAATAGCTGCAATGGCTGGAGCTGGGCTAATCCAAAGCCAGGAGCCTGGAGCTTCTTCCAGGTCTCCCATGTGGGTGCAGGGGTCCAAACACTTGGACCATCCTTTACTGCTTTCCCGGGCCATAAGAGAGAGCTGTATCAGAAGCGGAACAGCCGGGACTCAAACCGGTGCCTGTTTGGGATGCCAGCACTGCAGGTAGTGGTTTTACAGCTATGCCGCAGTACTGACCCCTATGGTGGACCTTTGAGGCTTCATCTTGATGAGTAGTGCAGGAACCCAGGCAACTTATAGGAGCAGACCACAAAATATTTGCCTTTGTTTCTTGACTGTCTGGTCTACTGTAGTAGTTAAACTCAAGGATTCTTTTTCCTATAATTATTAACAATAGTCATGAGATATGAAAATGTTACTTTTCTTAAAATATTCATCACTTTTAGTGTTTCTACTTTTAATCAGAAGAAATTATTATAATCGCAATTTAGAGGATTAAGTGAAATGGTAGCTTATGCAATGTAATGCCTTACATGCTTTGCATGTGCCACTTTACATAGCACTGATTCTTAAATTTATTTTAGCATTTCAAAGGAAGATGTCCAACAGGGCTTCCGTCAAGAAGTATGCACCACTTGGGTCACCTGCATGTCATTTCAGAGTGCTGAGTTCAAGTCTGGGCCCCACTTGTGCTTTCGGCCCCCGGCTAATGTACATCCTGGGACACAGCAGGTTGAGTCCCCACCACCCATGCGGGAGACACACATTGAGGGCCCTACTTCCGGTTATGACCCAGCCCAGCACCTCCCAGTGAAGGCGGTTAGGGAATGAATCAGTAGATGGGAGATCTCTCTGTCTTTCTGTCTTTCCCTTTCTCTGTCTCTCTGCCTTTCAAGTAACATAAATACTTTAAAAAGATAGAAAGAAAAGGCATTCATCAGCTTGTTCACATTTTAATTCAAAGTGATGGTTGCTTGATGATTTAAAAAACATCCCCAGATATTAAATTTTTGCACATTATGAAGGATTAACGTCAGATATGGATCGTATTTTTAAGGATCTTGCTGACCAACATACACAGAAGACACAGATAAATAACATTAAAGACATTTTAAAGAGTTCTAATAAAAATCCACATTTTCAACCATAAATACTTATTTAGTGTGTAATGTGTGCCACATGCTATTCCAGGTGCTAGAGATAAAGTAGTAAGAATGAGAGTCCAAGTTTGTACTCTCATTAAGTATATGGTACAGTGTTAGTGAATTACAAATTTCAGATACAGTTTTTGCTATAAAGAAAGAAACCAGAAGGCTGAATTGAAGCCTGTAAAGTGGTCTGTAAAGAAGAGGCTTTTGAATAAAGATTTGAATGAACAAAAGCAATCAGAGCTTGTAAAGCTCTTAAAGAAGACAGATGGGATAGAAAGTGTAAAGTCACTGAGGTGGAATTGGGCTTGGACTTGTGGAAGAAAGGAAGGAAAAGCAGTGCAAAAGGAGTCCATTAGTACAGGATGTACCTGAGAACCGAGATAGGGATATGGTTATTTGGGTATCTGTGGACTTGAGATGCTTGTTGATTGCATTTAAATGTAAAGGAACTCTATTGACAGGTATTAATCAGGAGAGTTATCATATTTATGGTTTTAAATTGTCTTAAATTTTTTGTCTACTTTTATTCATTTGAAAAGGAGTGAGACAGAAAGAGACAGAGAGGTCTCTTGTAGCTGCAGGTTCACTCCCCAAATACCTACAATAGCTAGAGTTAGGCCAGCCTGAAGCCTGGATCCCAGGACTCAGTCTGGGTCTCCCGTGTGGGTGGTAAGGACCAAAGTACTTGAACTATCACCTGCTACTTCCCAGGGTGTCCATTAGCAGGAAAATGGATTCAAGACTGGAGCAAGGAATTGAATGCAGGCATTCTGATATGGAATGGGGGCATCTTAGCTGCTATGATAAATGCTTGTCCCTTATTTACGTTTTTCAAAAGATCAAATTGGCTGCCATATGAGGAGGTAACTGTGATAGGATGAAGAATGGAAGCAAGGAATCCAGTTGAGAAATCATTTCAATAGTATAAACAAAGGATGGTGACTAACATCATGATAGCAGAGGAGGAGAGAGAGGAAGTAGACCTTAAGAGATTTGTAATGGTTGGGGAGGAAAAGGAATAATGAAGGAAGTCTCTGAAGTTTCTGGCTGGAGCAACTGTGGGTGGAGGCACCAGCTCCTGACACAGAGATATTCGTACCGGATTAGCTTTTAGGGGAAAGTAATGATTCTGCCTTGGCCTTATTAAGTTTCATATGCCTATTAAACATCCATGGGAGATGGTTAGCAGGATAGTAGTGCCTTGGGCTCATGACTAGAGTTAAGGGATAAAGTGTGATTTAAGAGATAAGGAGAGAGTAGTATCCCTCTGTGGGTTTCAAGAACAGCAGCTGGGTTGGAACCTAAATGAGAGGTAAGATTTGACTATTTTAAGATGGACAGAACACTTTAGTTAAAGAAAGAAGAAACAGGAAGAAAGGCAAAGTGTTTAATGTGATAATATCACTATAGTTGGTAGAAGGCCAAACACATACTGCCACCTTCTTTGTTTTATGGTAGGGGCCAATGAAAGAGCTGTGAGCCAGAAAATGACTTGATTATTGTGTACCATAAAGATCACCCAGAGAGAAATATAGAGAAAATATTGGGGAGAGTTGAGAAGGAATAGGAATGGGACAGGTGGGAGAGAGTTAGAGGAGTCTCTTACATACAGAGAGAAGCAAGATATACTCACCATGGAGACAGAAATTATAGGAAATAAAAATTCAATGGGTCTGGATAGTATTTGCATGGAAAAAAGAATCAATGTCATTGCAATTTTGGCGATTAGTAACTGGGAACCCATGCTTGTCATCATAAAGAACCAAAAGAATGGCAAGATAATTTGGGGGAAAGAACAAGATAAGGAGACAACTTTAAGGTGTCATTTCAATGTTTTCAAATATTCCACCTCCAAACACCTGGTGGTTGGCTATACTGCACCTGAGACAGGACTGTGAAAGCAGCCTTTTATCCAGCCTACTCTCACCCCTCCTGACGTCCATATGGGGCTGATTAATAGGGAGCACAGTGCACCTGGAGTGGCGCTTTGATGGCAAAACACACTGGTTTCCCACTCACAGCCTTCGCGCTGACTCATCCTGTGTTAATTCCATTTGGGCCTCACAAAGCAGCTATCCTTTTAAGGATCACTTACTCCTAAACTTTGAAATTCCTCCCAAACATGCCCATTACTTCCACTAGACTGTAAATTTCTTCTGTATAAAAATCATGATATTTTCACAGTCACTTTTAATCTAGAGAATCTTGCACAGAATACTTGCATAGATACTGAAGTTGAAAGAATGTTTTACTACTGAAATAAATAAAGTCTAATTTTCGGATCAGATAAATTTTATAGTTCAAATTTAGCAATGAATGTCCTGGCTTCACTGTTTCTGTGCACATCCTAGAAAGAAGATTTGAGTACTTAGGTCCCTGCCACCCACATGCGAGACACGAATGGCATTCCAGGCTCATGGCTTTGGCCTGGTCCAGCCCTGGCTACTGTGAGTATTTGACAAGTGAACCAGAAGATGGAAGATTTATCTGTCTGTCTCCGTGTTTCAGTTTCTCTGTGTCTGTATCTCTGTCTTTCAAACAAAATGAAAATAAATAAAAATTTAACAGTGGAATGGTCAATAATTTTTTGTAAAAGGCCAAATAGTAGGAGCTGGAATTGTTACACAGTGAGTTATGCTGCTGCTTGTAACTCCAGCATCCCATGTCAGAGTACAATTTGAGTCCCAGCTACTCTACTTTCAATCTAGCTTCCTGCTCATGTGCCTGAAAAAGCATCAGGAAATGCCTCAAGTACTTGGGCCCCTGCCATCCATGTGGGAGATAAGGATGGAATTCCTGCTCCTGGCTTCTAGCTTCTGCATGGTCTAGTCCTGGATGTTGCAGCGATTTGGGGAGCAAATCAGTGGATAGAAGATTCTCTCTTTCTCTCTCTCTCTCTCTCTTTCAAATAAATAAGTAAATAAATATTTTAAAACAGGTCACATAGATTAGATTTTCCCAGCCACAATGGAACTATCTCAACAACTCTGTCAATGTAGTAAGAAAACAGTCATAGATAATAGATAATGAAATGGGCCTGTTTTCTAGAAATTTGTATTTACAGAAACAGGTGATGGGATAGTTATAGCCACCAGACCATAATTTTCAGACCCCTGATCTTGATTACTGGCTGAGAAATTCATTTAACTTACCTCTCATAACCCCTCCCTATCATTCTCCCAAAAGGAAATTTTTAATACCTACCTTTAAATTTCAGAGGTAAAAGTTCTAGCCCAGATCCAACTAGAAACCCAACAAGAAAGCAAGCATTACACAAGGTAGAAAGAGTGTTACTAGGCGTACTCTGGGTTCTGCAAAAGCATCAAGAATGGGCATCTATTTCCATCCAGGTTGTGGAGGGGATTATTTAAGAAAGTCAGGGAATTTTCCTAAGGGAAAGAATACTTGAAGCAGAATAAGAGTCAGATGGAGAATGGGGTAGGGGGCAATGGTGATTCAGAACAAGGAAACAGATTATAGAAAACCATGAATCAAAATATAAGCGTAGTAGATACATTTGGTGATTTATGTGACAGCAGGTTGTTTTCTTATTAGATCTGTCACAGATCAAAAAGAAGTTAGGAATGACTAGTGTGAAGTATGCATTTAAGAATGCTGCCTTCTGAGTTGGAGGGGTGAGATCATGGAAGGAATTCTAGAAGAATGGAGGGAGAAGGAGAGAGACAGGGAGGGTGGGAGGAAAAGACGGGGAGTGATTTAAAATGAAGGACTTGGGAATCATTTAAAGACTTTAATCAAGGAAGGTTCAAAACTAGATTTGAAGTTTAAAAAATGGCAGTGTGGTAATACTGTGGGATACAAATATGAAGGTGCAAGATTTCATAATAATATAGTAGCTTACTGTGATAACAGAGTTAAACAGAAGGGTGGATATTTACAACAGTTGTGTGAAAACACAGTTTTCAAGCTTGGGAGACAGAATGAGGGATGGTGATCACATTCAGTAAGACGGGAAATCAGGAGAATGGAATAATTCAGGATATGAGATGAAAGGAAGATGTCAGTTTTAATGGGTCAAATTTGAGCTCTCTTTGGGTTATACAAATTCAGATGCCATGTAAACATAAAAGAAAGGAATTTGGAAATAGTGTAGAGCTTAAGGTCAAAAAAGTTATATTTGCGTACATCATCATACAATAGATGGACAGTGTTGTGGGTATTGTCACAGCTGCTCAAAAGAATATGTTTAGTGAGATAAGAAATGACTCATAGAAACCTGGGGGATGCCAGCCGTATCAGATGTAACTTGCTTAATAGAACATTCCCCCAAATTAGGGACTGAAACAACACTTCTTGTTGATGATTCTGCTGGTTGGCAAGTCTGTTGCAGCTGCTTGCCCCTGGGCTGTCTCATAAGCAGCTGGCTGGGTGAGAGCTGTATCAGGTGCATCAGCTTCAATGGCCAGGGCGCTCTCTCTCCATGTGATCCTTTATCTCAGGCCTCTAAAAACCATCCCAAAAGAAAGGAAGCAGACCACAAGGCTTCCTGAGCCTGGGCTCCAGAACTTCCACAACGTGGTTTTTGTAATCTTCCATCCATTACAGCACGTCCCGAGGTCTGTTCCAGTGGTGAGGAAATAGACTCTTTGTTTTTATGGAACTACAAAGACTTTATCACCTTGGGAATCTTATCCTGTATGACAACTTCCTCTGTTAAAAAAAAGGGAAGAAGGAAGGTCTGCGTGGCAACTGGGCAGGAGAAGCTAGGAAGTAAAGATAGAAGTAACAAGAATTGCACAAGAACAGCTTCATGGAGGTCAAGGCTAAGAGTTACAAGACAGGGAGGCAGAGGTCACATGCATTCCATTACAGAAGGTCAGGTCAAGTCAGTTAGGAGATTCCCGATAACCACAGAAGAAATCAGTCATTGAGGGTTAGCTGCAGCAAATGTCACTTCCTGGTGGGTTGAAGAGTTCCTGGAAAGAGGTGCACTAGGGAGTGATTAGGACTGTAGTTTGAGTTTGTGAAGGACAGGAATGTATGGTAACATGCAAGCCATTACAATAATGCACACACAGTGGAAAGGGCCAGAGGGAAAGATCAAAGATAAGCAGTTTGAGAAGGGATAATTTGTGAAACAAAGACCTAGAGGAGTTACAGGCAGTGCAATTCAGAGTATATTAAAGAGTTCAAAACCTCAAGGAGAAAAGTGGACAAGAGCTACTTTTGATTACATGACTGTTATTTTTTCTCACTGATAATGCTTTCAAGTATTTTTCCTTTGCCTTAATGTATTAATAGGCCCCAATGTGCTGTCATTTCTACCAGGTATTATTGCTTCTAGGTAATTTGTTCATGATCAATTTGAAGAGTAGATCATTTTATATGAAGCTTCTCATTTAAAGTCACATTTTGTTGTACTCAACTATAGAGTTTGTTCAATAAATAAAAATTGGGGATAAAGGAGTTATCTGGTACTTTCAGCTATATTACTTGAAAATTTAAATTCTCACATATTTTAGTGCCATTCAAATATGGCAACATATCTCAGGTACATTTAGAGGGACAAGCTAAAAACATACAATCATCACTAAGTAGGCAAAAGCATTTATGGATTTGTCTTCCAAAGGAAAACTGATGCTAATAGTATTGAAATAACTACAGTGTCATTAAATAAAGTATTGAGGCTAGGTAGCTGTCCTTTTAATAAGTGGCCTTCTGCTTTGTTACGAAATATTTCTCTACAAAATACAAATCAGTAAGGCTACCCAAGGTATTTGCCAGGCACAGGTAACACTGGGAAGTAAATGCTAGAATTTCCAATGAGATTAGATATTTTCTCAGCATTTCATCTGGTTAATACTACATGTTAAATATTTACATTTGGATTATAATCAATTTCCGGAATCTGAGCTAAGAGCTTAGTTTACTTAACCCCAAGTGGTCTCCAATGCACATTCTTTACACATTCCCTTCCCTTTGCTCTGTTTATGGGAATTATGTACCACAGCTTCCCTGCAGTTATGGAATGTCTGGGCTTTTGCTTATCCTGCATGACTGGTTTATGCCATTACTGCCTAGAAAATTAAACTGGCATCGGTAGAGGATGAAACACACCAACTTTTCATTTTCAGGATTCTGTGTTTGTTAATTTTTGACTACCCTAGATTTTCAAAGAATAATCTTTTGAAGAATTCCTATGTTCAAACTATTTTATGAAAAATGCTAGTAGCTTGTATTTGGAGGAAAGTTTTTACAGAAGTCTTTTCATTCTTCATCTGTCAAAATAGTGATTTGAATTTTCTTAGTGACCTAAAAAAAATCTGTATTATTTATGGTTGAAGGATCTGTGTTTATCTCTTCCTAGGAATGCAGTGCTATGAATCAAAAACTATTACCACTGAAGACATTTCCCACGCACTAGGTAAAATTGGCTATAGTAAAATTTTATGGAGCAGAGCATCAATATCATTTACCAGCTTCATTAATTTTAATTTTACTTAAACTTTGTTTTTTTGCGTACCAAATTTCTTTATTTGAAGGAATGGTACAAATTAAAGTATGAAAGTGGATGTTTTGGTACAATGTCTAGAAAAAGGTAAAGGTAGCCCCAACATGCATGCGCTGCCTTGGTGCATAGCCGGGGAAGTTAGTTAAACTTTATTTTTTATGTATGTATGGGTGTGCACATTTTAAAAAAGATTTGTTGATTTTTATTCATTTGAAAGGCAAGAATTACAGAGAGGGGTGTAGAGAGGGAGAGGAAGAGGGAGGTATAAGAAAGAGGAGGGAAATGGAGAGGTGGTGAGAAGAGAGAAAGAAAAAGGAAAACCGGCAACAGCCAGGTCAGGCCAAAGCCAGGAACCAGGAATTCCATCCTGATCTCCCACATGGATTACAGGGGCCTTGTTCTGATGTCATACCAGGGACATTAGCAGGAATGGAAGCAGAGCCACCAGTACTTGTCAGACTGTCGCTCTGATATGGGATGGTGGCTGACATCACATGTGGCAGCTTAAACTTCTGCACAGCGCCAATCAGCATAGCTTTCAAAAATCAACAGGCAGGGACATCCCATGTTTTAGAACTTACTAAGAACAAATTGAACAACGCTCTAAATCTTCAAGAACACTTGCAACTGTCTCCCAGATTGTTTCAACATATATTAATATATCACACATTCTTTAAAAACTTTGGGATTTTGAAATTGTTATTTATTCATTTTATTTAAGAGAGAAATTGTTATTTATTCATTTTATTTAAGAGAGAGAATGAGAGAGAGAATCTACTTTCCCTTGGTTTATTCCTCGAATACAAAAGCTAGGGCCAGGTCAAATCTGGAAGCCAAGAACTCAATCCAGTTCTCCCTGTGAGTGGTAGAGCCCCAACCCCTTGAACCTTCACCTGTTACTTCTCAGGATGTGTCCCTTGGCAGGGAATTGCAGTCAGGAGTTCACCCAGAACTCAAACCCCAACACTCTGATAT